ATCTTCAGAGCCAGATTTGAGATGACATCTGCAGCCGTCAATCCATCAGGTTCATCACTGTAGAATCAGTCAGTGAAAAGCAACAAAATATTTACACTATTTACACTTTATGGGGTTTTTTTTGGTTTAATATCTTTTAAGTAATTTTTCTTGCTTTATCAATTGGCCTTTTTCTGTTAATTCATTTTAAAAAGCGAAATAGTGATCTGAAGAACAATCATCAGCAACCAAATAATTTTAAGAATCTTTTCTTTCTGAATACAATCATCAGCAGAATAACTTCACAGGAACAGTTAAGCTATGTTTGCTCCTGTAAAAGGTTAGGATCAAAAATAGCAGCAGTACCCAGCAATATTTTTAGTAAAGAAATATTTGATAAATAGGTTAACTGCAAGTCAAACATTATGGGTTTATTGTACTTATTCAAGATATGAAAGTTACCAGTTTTCCTTTTGCAACTCCTCTCCCTCAGCATCTGAAGAACTGCTGTCAATAATGACAGGTGCATAGATATTGGTATACATACTGTGAAAGAAGAGTAAAAACAGAAGATTAAAATACATTTTATGTAATAGTAATTCTGGCTCTACATTTGGCTGGGTTGGGTCTGAAGTACTTCACCATGACTGAATTTGCTCAAGTTATGGATTAGATAGAGAACCTCTATAATTTTAAAAAAAACAACAATAAAAAAACCCAAAACAGTTTCACTGAGCTTATTACTTTATAATTATTTACAAGATATATCATTTTATATTTTTTAAATTTTAGAATCACAATCAGAATCAAAATACTTCATTGATCCCTAGGGGAAATCATGTAATTTTATAACTTAAGACTAACTTGTAACTTGTAGTATGTTCTCCTGATGTGGATGCCATTTGAGATTCTGTACCACACTGAACCTTCAGCATAAACACCAAACACAACACAATACCATAACAACTGCAGATGTAATGGCATGCAAATGAAACTTAACAATTAAATATGCAACATTGTTATACAAAAGAGTATTATATACTTGCACATCAGATGTTTGGGATATTGAAGGT